TGATGTAGTGAGGTTTGGTGTGGTGAAGTGTGGTGGGGTGTGATGTAGTGAAGTGTGGTCCGGTGTGATGTGGTGTGGAGGGGTTTGATGTAGTGAGGTGTGGTGAAGTGTGGTGTGGTGTGGTGAAGTGTGGTGAAGTGTGGTGGGGTGTGGTGAAGTGTGGTGGGGTGTGATGTAGTGAGGTGTGGTGTGGTGAAGTGAAGTGTGGTGTAGTGAAGTGTGGTGGGGTGTGATGTAGTGAGGTGTGGTGTGGTTTAGTGAGGTGAATTGCGGTGTGGTGTGGTGAAGTGTGGTGGGGCGTAGTGAGGTGTGGTGGAGTGTGATGTAGTGAGGTGTGGTGTGGTAAAGTGTGGTGGGGTGTGATGTAGTGAGGTGTGGTGTGGTGAAGTGAAGTGTGTTGTGGTGTAGTGAAGTGTGGTGGGGTGTGATGTAGTGAGGTGTGGTGTGGTGAAGTGAAGTGTGTTGTGGTGTGGTGAAGTGTGGTGGGGTGTGATGTAGTGAGGTGTGGTGAAGTGTGTTGTGGTGTAGTGAAGTGTGGTGGGGTGTGATGTAGTGAGGTGTGGTGTGGTGAAGTGTGGTGGGGTGTGATGTAGTGAGGTGTGGTGTAGTGAAGCGTGGTGTGATGTTAGAAATTGGAGTGTGGTGTGATGTAGTGAGGTGTGGTGTGGTTCAGTGAAGTGTGGTGTGGTGAAGTGCGGTGTGGTGTAGTGAAGTGTAGTGGGGTGTGATGTGGTGAGGTGTGGTGGGGTGTGATGTAGTGAGGTGTGGTGTGGTAAAGTGTGGTGTGGTGTAGTGAAGTGTAGTGGGGTGTGATGTGGTGAGGTGTGGTGGGGCGTGATGTAGTGGGTTGTGGTGTGGTGAAGTGTGGTGGGGTGTAGTGAGGTGTGGTGGAGTGTGATGTAGTGAGGTGTGGTGTAGTGAGGTGTGGTGGAGTGTGATGTAGTGAGGTGTGGTGTGGTGTAGTGAAGCATGGTGTGATGTTAGAAATTGGAGTGTGGTGTGATGTAGTGAGGTGTGGTGTGGTTCAGTGAAGTGTGGTGTGGTGAAGTGTGGTGGGGTGTTGTGAAGTATGGTGGTGTGTGGAGTTGTGTAGCGAAGTGTGGTGGGGTGTGACGTGGTGAGGTGTGGTGTGGAGAAGTGTGTTCTAGTCTACTAAATTGTAGTGAAGTGTAGTGTAGTTTCACTTTAGTCGATAGTTCGTCTGTCCGATATTAAAACCGGCACGCAAATTGCATCAGACAGGGATCATTAATCAGTGGAGAGCGATGCGGAATTTCACTTTAGAACTCACCACACGATCGATAATAATAATGGTGGGGATGATGATGACGATGACAGTGATGGTCAAGGTGGCAATAGAAATGGTACTGATGATGATGATGATGACGACAATGCCGGTGGTGGTAATCTCGACGACGATGATGATGATGGTAGCGAGAATGATGGTAGTGGTCGCGATATTGACAGTCGTGCTAATGGTGATGATTGTCGTGAAAATCATGCTGATTATAATGGCAACGATAATGATGGTAGGGATGATAATGATACTTATGGTAATGGTACTAATTGCAATGATGATGATGGTGTTGATGTTGATGATGGCGATAGTGATGATAGTGATAATCATGCTGATGATGCTGATAGTGGCAGTGCAAATCTGTGTCCCTAGATTAATTAGCACACGGTCGTATTTGTTCCCCAATAGACAGTGGTTATTCTGTAGCTGCTTAGAAGGCACCAACGTGATTTTTTTTACCACATTAAACAAGCAAATATGCACAACCTTTGTCACCACAAGAACTTTCTAACATTTTTCATACGACCCTGTAGTAGTCAGCGATTTCGTTTTTGTTGCAAAAAAAGTGAAAAAATGCAAGTGTCAGTGAGATTTTAGCCGCATTCAAACGTGGTAATTATTGTCTCAGTTTTTTCGCATAAATTGAAATATTACCTTACGAAGAAGAAAAAACCTTCTAGTAATAACCCTCACACGGAACACTAATGATGTGAGTGAGAGATGGAATTATCGTTTGTGTAGTGCACAAAAAATTTTGAAAAATAACAAGTGCAGGTTGTATCTACTTAAACACTTAAATTCCGCATATCTGACGCCAGTATGGAAATGAGAATTCTTCTAACCAACGGTGACAAAATTCCCTGTGTGATTTTTGTGTGGTTTTTTTTATCATCGGAGGCTACTTATATGTCTTCTAATCGTATCTGTCTAGACATGCTACACAGAGGAACGACTACTCTGTCTACTATATCCTGCGCAGAAATAAGAACGCTAAAACAGTAAAAGTTTTAACATGCCGGGGATGCCTGTTAGCATTTTTCTAAATATTTTCGGCTGCATAAACTCATTCGTAGGCACAACAATATCTTTGGATGTGTGAAAATCATCAGTGCTGCAAAATTTAAAACACAAAATTACAATGCTATAATTCCGTTTACCTCAACCAAGCACTTTGATGCCCTTAATGTTCTGCATGTATCTCTGTACTTGTTCCGCCATAAATTAAATCTTCTTTGACACACGACAACACGGTGAAATATAATTCTTTCAAGTCAATTAAATTTGACTCAGTTGTGTGCCAAAACTAAGAGTGTGGTTTGTGAAAGTTTTGAATGCAGCACTGTCGCATTGTAGCCTGATAATTGCATGGTTGCATGAGCATTACTAGGGGCAAAAGACATGTGTTGATAACATGAGGTTGGCGGGCTCACTCAACCCACGCAAGTGGCAAGTTTTGAAAGCGTCGATTTCTTTCTCATAATGCTGTCTACCTACGCCTTCCATTTACACCACACTGTGTAAAACGTACTTGTGACAACAGTCTACATCTCACCACTGCCTTTTTTTAAAAATTAGACTTGAACTGGTCATTTAAAATCGAAATGACGATTCATGGAAGAGATCACGATGGCTTGTGATTTCAGTGCGCGAATCTTACTTGACAAATCAACTGACACAGGGGCACAAGTTTTCAAAACCTAACCGCTATTAATTTATACCAATCTTATGTGAATAATTGTCGTGCAATCTGTAAATACTAACAGATAGTGTATGGCACCTTACAAGTCCACTCACATTGATCGCAAATATTTGCTGATTTCGAATCAGAACAAGTTAACATCAAAGTAATAAACAAGGAGTGTAGACTGCAGGTGTTATGTAGTCGTGGGTGTAGCAATTAATCTTAAACTATGAAGACAGTCTCAGTGACTGTCAGGTGGAGCCCAAACATCCCAATATCAATTATTCCGTTAATCGCAAAAGCAAAAATGAGGATTTTAGCTAAAAAAAACTCTTTAAATTACGTTTTTGTTAATTACAGAATGCTAGACACTTAAGTCAGGGTGTTTGTATATAGTACATAAGTCGGAGCAGGTATTGCAGAAGGTCATCTTGCTATGTAAATATCTCTCTAGTATTTGGCCTTCGACGAAACATTAGCATTAAACATATAGTAGCTAAGAGATATCAATGTGGAAATCAGAGCACGTTCAGCATTTTTATTGCAAAATCTCCTCTAATCTGGTTTCTCGAAGCAACAATTCATGTGTGAAGCCGATTTAGAACCCAAAAAGTTTTAAGTTCGACTGCCACTAAATGTGATAAGCCCTGTTTAAATCTTACAGAAGAACATTTTTTTCGCAACAATAGTCAAGAATATTTAAAGACATATTTTTTTAAACAAATAGGATTAGCAGCAGATCTGAGGATATGAAGGGGCAAAAAGCATCAAATGGGTATTAATCAACAGTTATGCTAAAGCATAAATCAACAAAGCCCAATCCAAAAATGGGTTATGCTAAACATGCATTTTGCAAGAAACAGTACCCTGAATGCCATGCAATGGATGAGTGGAGAACGTCCTACTCGAAGCATAACAGCCTGATTGAGCAATGCCATATAGTCTAAAAGTATCACAACCTTTTCGTTTAGCTTGAAACCATTTTCAAATATTGTGACTCTGAAAATAAGACTTCCTCCTAACTGACTACTCACCATTTCCGAGGCTCAAATATATGTGCTTACATTAATGATTGACTGATTAATTGTTTTAATATCTGACACCGAAACTAGGAATCAGTTTGTATACAGTATATTTCTCACATCAGAAGATATTTTTTTATGCAAGAAGCCATGTTACTACAAGTAAATAAATCATGTCAGCGCTAACGCATTGAGCTTATATCTGCATATTCTTAATTTTATTCGATATATTGTGAAACACTGATACGACGTTGCCTACTGAGCAAATTTTGGCGAATTTCTCGATAGTTAACCGGAGTGTGTACCGAGTGTGCGTAGGTGGAGGAAGAGTCACAGGTTTTTACCTTGTTTTTCAGCCACTGTAACCAGCAACTATAAAAGGGCTGATCTCGATGCTGTCGCACCAGATTTTAATAATTCCATAAGGCGTT